TTCCCTCATCCATTCCCTCATCCATTCCCTCATCCATTCCCTCATCCCCTACTACTAGTACCAAGCCGTATTGGAACTGTTGAAAACTTGAAAACTGTCCCGCTCAAAGTCTGTGAAGCCAACTGTCGAGATACGACAGGGAGTGCATCGCATCGCACCATCACACTGACTGATCACATAGGATTCACACCAATCAATTGAGGCTCAGACGTGGTCAAGGTAGATCCTATCCTTGGTCTTGTCTAATTACAAAAGAAGTTTGCTTGAACGACCAAAGTAAAACAAGTGAACAACATTTACTCTTGGCGCAAACAATTCACCTTAACGTGCTTTGGAGCGCTCTGAGGCCACCAGCGCAGCAAAGCTGGCAGCAATTGCAGTCCCCTCCAGCACCTGCGTCCATGCAGAAGCTATCGACCCTAAGATTCAATTAGACCGTTGATGGAATAGGGCTCGTGGAGTCAGGGGGTTGATCCACACCACAAAGATGCGAACGCTGAGGTTCAGCGAAGTGGCTTCTCTATTATTCCAAACCCCCCAATCTGCTTACTTGGTGCTCACAAAGCGATGCATCGATGGAGGACAAGAATGGTTTTGCCTACTTTGGTGTGTTTCTCTGTTGAGCTCTCTTTTCAGCAGTCCATGTATGCTGAGCGTGTCAGGGCCACACTGTCAAACTCCAACTGTGGATCCCTGCGGGAGTCGGCATGGCTGCCGGCAAGCCGTTTCTTCAAGATCTTTGCAAAAGAGATCCCAAATGTCTTGGCTTCTCTAAGTTGGGGCTCAGCTGTGGTTTAAGCGTAAGAAGTGTTTTGCTTAGGAGAAGGTTTGGTGAAAGGCGTTTCGGAATCTTGAAAGCCGCGTGTGTCTGCACTTGATGTGGACAAGTCACGGCCTCTGTACAATAAGAACGGTGCCAAGATGGCTGCGTGAGCAACGCTGCGTGCTCTGACTGCTCCGAGCCATCCCAAACCAAACAGCACATACAAAGTCTCAATATCACTACCACAGTCCAGCAAACCTGCCGTTGCCCAGAAATGGCGTCAACCAAGGGGAACATTGGAAACACCAAAACATCTAGTCACCATGTTGGTAAAAATATTCGGATTGACAAAGTGAACGCACCAAAATTGAAGCATTGACATCTTCTATACAGTGCCTCTTGTATTGGGCGAGTAAAACAATAAAATCATAGATGTGCTGTTGGTCAATGCCCTCTTCTCGATCTCTTCACGCAGTGGCAGTGTGACTGCCTCCAAACAGAGGAGGGTCGTCCAAGTCAGCCTGAGCAGAAACTGTTTGAGCAAAAATTGGACAAAGCAGTGACCGCAGAAAAGGGCACCGCACTCTGGCAATGGATGCTCCCAGCATGGCTTCGAGAGCAAGGCTGATGCGGCAGATTAATATGAGTAAATGAATTGATGCAAAGGTGATATTTGTACCACACAGTAGAGTAGATGGCAGAACAATCGATTGCAGCGTGTTCTTGCCGGTCTGCAAACTTGGGATCCAGAATCATCTAAATCAACTATGGGACCTGAAGCCAAACCCCATTGACTGGGATAGTACTGAGCTGCCTTCCAGCTATGAGTGACCACAAACGTTCACTATTCACTGCCAGCTTCACTACCGAGCTCCGCTCACAAAAGCGCTGTGACCTTTTACCTCGTGGCCCAGGCGTTTCTTTGGCCCAGGCAGCATATTCACCGGTCCGCCTGTCCATGGGATTATGGCTTGGCCACTTTCCCAGGTCGATTTGGGGGCGGCCTTAGGAAAGAGGAACGACTCGGCTGTTAATCTATATATCATAGTGGGGATAGTTGAAAACATCACCGACCTTGCCAATTTGAGACACTGACGTTGGACCTGGTGAGAAGGCAACCTCGAAGAGTCGCACAAACGACACAAACTGCGACACAACTGCACGCTCTGACGCCACAAACTGAGGAACCACTGCAAAAACACCCACAGGCCGATCTGAGCCCTCGGGGACATGTGCCTCCAGCGGAAAAGCTTGGATTCACAGCTAAAAGAAGCTTGTCGCCCACCGGCATGGCGAGCTTGCAATTGCCATCTGCAATACCTGGGCCAAAATTTAGTGAAAAAACGGAACTGATGGAACTGGCTGAAGACCAGAATACCATTGTATCTTTGTCTCAGAGAGCTGCCGAAAACACTCATGTTGCCATCCTCTGCTCCAGTTGCTAGCAAAGTCCCGGCCTCGGCAACACAAGCTGCTCTGTCCACAGAAAAATTATTCTCAATTTCAGCGATGTCTGCCAAGCTGCTGGGGAGAATGCCACAGAGCGGATGCTCCCCGGCCCGTTGTTGCACTGTCAAGATTGTGTTGGATAACACATTGCTTCTAGGTTGGAAGCTATTGGGTTGGAGGCCCTCGCTATTAGCTTGGAGGCCATTGCTTCTAGGTTGGAAACTCAAGGCCTGTCCACAAATAACGGAACTCAGCACCTCGATTGACAGAATGCAAACACCAGTGCCGATGCTATAAATCCTCCATGAGCACAAGTTTGCAGTCTCAAGCACAATGGAGCTTCCGAAACATGTGCCGCATGTGCTGTTGCTCTTGTGAATTTGCTCAAATCTTCAGGTCGTCCTGCACTGACCTTCCGTTCCTCCAACTGCGAGGCTCATACCATCTGGAGAGTACCTCTTCAAATTGATGTTCAGATTGTACAAAAGAGATCAAGAAAGAACAAGATCAAATATCATCAAATATCATCAAATATCAATGTACGGCATGTCAGTCCCTTGGCACGATACAGCACAAACCGCGAAGCCACACGGCTTCAGATTGAGTTCCTTGGATGTTGAACGTATGCCATAAGTGATATAACAGCATGCCTGGTGTTTCTGTTTGCTGCACCCAGAGTCGAGCACCCTGCAAGACGTTGCAAAGCGTTGCAAAGCTTGAAAGAAATCCAATTATATATCCTTCAGCCACCTGGTATCCCTCGCAATCAAAATGGAATGCGTTTCTGTGCTAAGGACAAGTCCAGTTTGCCAAGTGGAGACCAAATCATGACCTCCCCGACGGATGAGCCTCGGTGTGCCAAGCAGAGAAGCACATGTGATCTTGCATTATTTTTGGGCACTGCTCAGAAAAGCTGGAGCCCAAAAATGCGATCAATAAACCAAATCCAGTTGTTGAGAAATAGACGTTCAAGATCGTTCAAGCTTAATTCTAGTCTCTGATCTACTTTTGGTCATGCCAAATCAAGTTGAGGCGAGCACCGCTGGCCAAACCCTGGAGCGTGGTCAAACGTGTCAAACATAGAACAAGGCGCAAAATAGTGCTGTAGAACTGTAGAACAGGCTTTGAATAGAGACTGCTCATGGTGCAAATCAACACCTGCCTTGGCATGTTGGGAGAAACTCAATGTTTTGATGCATCCGGCATGGCCCTGGACACTTCTTTGCACTCAAAGGTGAGAAGTGACCCGCGGCATTGGCATGGCATTGGACAGCTTGGTCCGTGCTCTTGCGCCTTGAGGATTGTCTCTGGCTTTTTCTCCAACACCTGGCACAATTGTGCGAGAAGGTCACACACCAAATAGTAGGGTGGAGGCCATCGCTACTACGGTGGAGGCCATCGCTACTATATAATAGGTTCACGCAATTGCCTTCCAAAGCCTCACCGTGCAATCCTGGTCCGTTCGGAAATCCGAGGTGTCCAGTGTTCAATGAGCGACTGAAGTCAAACACAACAACAAAGAAGCTAGCCGTGAAGCTGAGGAAAGAATTGTCCTCGGAACCAGTCCCCAGAGTTTTCCTGGCAGTGGCATTCCATGAGATATACGCCCAAAGCCACTAGAAGAGTCTGGAAGACATCTGAATACTAGAATCTCTCCATTGTGGTCAAACATAGCCCCACAGCCCCAAAGAGATGCAACTCCAAAAGCCGTAAACAATTGCTCTTGCTTCTTTGCCAAGTGTCGAGTCTGAAGAAAAGGCCAGACTGGTTACGGACCCGGAGTGACCACTGAAGACCTGCAAGATCGAAAAGTCCACAACCAATCTGAAGGCAGGAGCAATGTTCGCTACTAGGGGCTCGAGCAAGGACGCTACTAGCAGCACGCAGGAAATCTGGCTGATTCATGGCTTTGCGCCGCTCTCCTCTAGACATGCAGCGACCCATCAAAGCTACCCTGATGCAGACCCATCACCAATTTGCCAGACCCATCCTGCCTTTGTGGCCCGTCCAGTATCAAAATCCCAAACGATCGCCGTCCTTTCGCCAATGAGTCACATAGTGAGCTGAAAATATATGGTGTGGAGGGAAGTTCTGGCAACCTCCTACGGAATCCTCGATGATGATGCCCACACCCACGTTGAACAACTGAAGAAGTATTCAAATTTGCTCAAGTACTGTAGGAATCTGCAGGAACCAACTTTCTGTTTGATGTCGAGTCCTGTCCAAAGATCCTGTCGCCAAGAGCTGGCCATTAGCAGAGCATGCCTCACGAAGCTGCCACCACGTGCCACGTGTGTCTTCTTAACATCCTCCAAGTTGAGCAAAGAAGAGTTTTCTACCCACATCTTGAAGGGTTCACCTTCAAAAAGCTTCAACTTTCACAAAGCGACTCTATATTTGAATTGAACTGTAGCATTCTGAAAAAACGGACACAGTTGCACGCTGTTCTCGAAGAATTGGTCCACGTGGGCACCCAAGTTTCGTGCTGCGTTCCCCATCTCCACCCCTTGGGGCACCGCACCACCCCGGAGATTGGTGCATGATGTGCCCGGAACTCCCTTGACCCGATTTGACCGTCGAACGCAAACGCCAAACACGGTCGTCGCCCTCGTGATCGATATCCTTTGTTCCTAATAGCTTCTTGCTCCTAGTAGCGATGCCAGGAGCCCCTAGTAGCGTCCTTGCTCCTAGTAGCCGTCCGAGTGAAAGGACGTGAAAGGCAACGCCTCATGATCTCGCCGGAGGTCACGCTGCGGAGCTGGACGTGTCCATCCTGAAACCGGCCCCTCCCGGTTGAGGAATGAACCGCAAAGATTAAAAGGATTCAACAGTTTTAAAACACGGGAGGCAACAGCCAGGACCTCTTTAGCTGGCAAAACCGTGTGTGCAAGAAAAGTAGCGCCAAACAACAAATGTCACATAACTGATATATATATATATATAGACAGTGTCATTGTTGCTCTGCTTGTACCGCGCGAGATCTCCATTAGTCATCCCGTCTCACTTCCTCTGGCGACCAACCGCATTCACTATACTTGAGGCCCCAAACAAACGACAGCATCAGAAATGACAGCGATAGCAGCAGCAGCAGCAGCAGCAGCAGCAGCAGCAGCAGGAGGAAATTGAATAAACTAACAAAGTACTGTAAATGACTGTGGGTTTGCTTGATGGGTGTTCTTGCGTTGCTGGCTTGGAATTTTAGGATCCCGGCGAGCTGACGCACAATACTACAAGTTTGCCACGAGACACAAACAGAAAGCCGAAGATAAACTGGACTCTCAAAGCACCTGCCTCTACAACCCCTACAACTAATTGACAACGCACAGAGGTTCCGCCCTAAGCTGAGTTGAGGACCATCATGCCAAGAACCAGCGAAAGACCAGACCTGCACAAGACCATCACAACACCTTTTTGAGATGTCCAATCTTGTGGTCCTTTTGGATAAAGGCATATGACGGCCAAAGTCATGCACGACTCTCCGAGGCCCAAGCGCGGCAAAGGCTACCCCAGTCACGACTGAGCTGCAGCCCTCAATGGTCCTGAAAGGCATATGACATGGATATACCCACACACTCGGGATAAGAGTTCGTACGGAGGCCGCCAAATGTATAGAAGAAGCCTAAGTGAAAGAATGGTTTGAGCAAACCAGTGAAAGAATGGGACTAGAGAAGGTTCGGCTCCATTGAGGACAAGAATGTTTTCAAGCGCCCAACAGTACAGGATCTACATCCTGGGTGATTGACCATCCTTTCGACCGAGAACAGCTGATGGACACAGTTGAGTTGAGACGGGCACTGGCTCAAACTATTTGACTCACTCGTTACCCTCGAATGCGCTGAACCATGCAACTGCTGAAGCCAAATGAAATCTTAATCTTTAGAACCATGCTTGCAACATCTTGCAAGCAGGGTATGGCCCTAAAACCTGAAAGCCAAGTCGTTCACAACAGGCGCTGAAGCATAAAGCAGCAGCTTAAAAAAAATAAATACCTGAGAAAGGAGAGGACGAAAGCCAACGAGAGACCAATATGGTAATGCAAGACTGGGAGGAAAAAATTGCGGAGCACTATTGTTGAACGCCTGTAGCTTTCGTGGAGCTTGTATCAACGTGGAGTAGATCAAGATCGAAGCACAGCATGAAGTGTTGAATGTTTTAGGTTTTCTCGATTTTCGTGGCGCGGTGCTCTCTGGAGCGTCCCTGTTTGGTGGTCTATTTGAGAATCCATTTAAAAATAAACGACAGTGAAGACCAGGAGAAGGATGCCCGAAAGGTGGTTCTTTGTTGTTTTCAAACGTGTTTCGGGCATCGTGCATCAATGCGAAGCCCTATAAAGAGCAGGGCTGGGAGAAAAACAAGAGGAGAGCACTCATTCTTGAATGGTTGTAGTTTTCGTGGAGCTGGTAACTGGTAAGTGTTGAATGTTTTTAGTATTCTTGATTTGCTTGGCGCGGCGCCTTCTGGTGGAGCGTCCCCTTGTTGGTGTTCTATTTGAGAATCCGTGCAAAAATAAACATCAGTGAACACCAGGAGAGTGATGCCCGAAATGGTTTTTGTGGTTGTGCTGAAATGTGTTTCGGGTATCGTGCATCAATGCGAAGCCCTATAGAGAGCAGGGCTGGGAGGAAAAAATAGCAGAGCACCTATAGTTGAAAGCTTGTAGTTTCGTGGAGCTGGTACTGAGATCAAGATCGGAGCACAGCATGAAGTGTTGAACACTCTTTGTTGCTTGGTCCTTCTTGGTATGATCAGAGCTAACAGTCCCTATGCCCGGACTAGAAAATTGCCTGCAGACCCCTTCATGATGCTAATGATGCACTACTCGGCGTCCATGGCATCACTCGCATCACCAGACCCCATTTTCACTGCGTTTCTGACCCTCGCTTTGGAGCGCTCTCCCCGACCAAGCTCCGGGTTCACCCTCTCAAAAGGTGCCTTTTCGCGCCCTCCCCCCCCACACCCCCTTAACTCACTTCGTTCGCTCTAAGAGCTCAAGCCTACCCTATCGGCTGGGCTGGCTTTCGTAATAGACGCAATAGAGAGAGAGAGAGATAGAGAGAGAGAGAGAGATAGAGAGATAGAGAGATAGAGAGAGAGATAGATGGATAGATAGATAGGTAGGTAGATAGATAGATAGATAGACAGACAGAGAGAGAGAGATAGATAGATAGATAGATAAAAAGATAGCTAGATAGATAGATAGATAGTTTTCAGTTTTTTTCAGTTTCAGTCGCTCTCATGTCGTCATGAGACAGCGGGGCGCGGGAGCAGGTGTCCCGGCTGATCCAGCTAAGATCAGACTTGCCAGCACCGTGGTGCACTCCATGGCCATCCCAAACATGTTTGAAATAAAAAGGAACCTCCATTCCGCAAAAGCCGCTATGGCGCAGAAAGGAGTCGGCATTTCAACCTGGTTACTCCTCAAGGCATTCCAATGCCAAAGGAGATGAACGTAGCTAGCACCCAACTAAAAGGCGGTGCACCTTACACAAGCAAACCCAAAAAGAACCATTCAACTTGGCTCCATGGTGGTGTAGCACATGAGCCATCTTGACCTGTACCAAAAACAAGTGAGGCAGTGACTGCGGCATCTGGTTTCACATCCCGAAGGGAGAACTCCAGGGCTGTCAGCGGCCGGAATGAAAACAACACAAAGCAAGGGTCGTGCCGACCTTGGAGCTCAATCACCTTGGGTGAGGGCTCACATCCAATCATTTTCAATTGTTGATCGAAACACGGCTACTCCTCATCCCTCACATCAGCAGCAAGGCGCTCAGGGTCATCTGCCGCAAGGCGCCCAGGAGTGAAGCAGGGGCTCAGTGGGATCTGGACCAGTTGATGATGGCGCAGGCCAAGTTGCAGGTTCAGTTCCGCCAAGCACTTGTGCGCCAGCTGCAGCGGATGATGAAGAAGGTTGGGCCTTGCTCCACATGCATGGCAAGGCAAGGTGCTATGCTGGATCTGTACCTGTGTGGCCAAGTCACGTTCGATCACACCTCGGTGCTCTGGGCGCTTGCATAAGCCATCATGGTCAATGACTAGCTTGCCACAGATGCTGCAGTGACACCTCAGTCGTTCCAGGATGTCCTGTGGGTACTCTTCAAATCTGCTGCCATGGCAGGTGTGTTCTTCTTGAAGCTGCCGTGGGAAAATGTCTGTACCCAAAAGGCATCCCTTCCAGAGGCAAAAATCAACAGCATTTTCCCTGAGAAGCCAGATGATCACCCATTCCGTGGTGTGAGGTGCATGGGAGTCCAAAACAACAGCCTCTTTGAGGTCATCAAACTGAACCCAACCCATTGCTGATCTGCCCAGTGCCCGGAAATGGCCAGCACCATCAGTGTGTCTGATGGCAGAAACTATTGTTTACGGATGGCGCCGAACTCCAAGTTGGTGTTCGTCCTGGTAGGGCAGCCAAATCTGCTCGTTGAGGTCGAGTTCAAAGAAGCTGCGCTCAGCATGACCTTGGTTGTTCAGGACAAATCGATCAAGATGCAAGCAAGTCAATCGATCATGCGCAGTGAAGGCCCAAGTAATTCGACCAATCATCGATGAGCTCCTGAAGTCCAACTTTTTGAGCAGTCTGAGGAGCCTGAAGAGTGGGTGGATTGTAGGTATCCCCACGGTCCCGAACCAGGACCTGATCCCCTTCCTGTACAAGCCGCTTCCACTCCAGATTGACACATCTTGGCTGGAGCCAAGACAAAAATTTGAAATGGAACTCACCAATGTCATGCTGGTCAGATCCCCATGATTTCAAAAAGCTTTCGAAGGCAGGAATGGCGCGCAGCGTTACCCACACACTTTCCTGCCGAAACAAATCTGCTATCTTCTCAGCTCCAGGTCCAAAGTCATTCCAGCAGGGCTCATGGAGCTGACATACAGCCCAAAGGAAGGCAACCATGGTGGAGTTCTGACAGCAAACTTTGCTGTCAATTCCAAGCCTCACCGCAATGAGCCACCCTGCGATGTCCTCCTTCGGAAAAGGCCGTTTGATGTCTTCACCAAATCTGTGGCTAGTGGGTTCTCGCGATTCGTGTGAGGCCTCAGTCTTCCCAGCATGAGGTTCCATACCGCAGACGTCGATAGCGTCGGCAGGAGCTCGTGAAGCCTCTGGTGACGCATGCTGATTTGCAGCATCCACGGCATGACCTTCAGTTGCTTGGAGTCGGAATCCGAGGCTTTGAGGCACTTGAACCGGACCACTGCTTGTGGATCTCGAATCAGCTCTACCAGTTCCTCCAGCATGCTCTGCATGCTGGTCATCGAAATGGGAGCTCGATCGGTGGGCTGCACGCGCTTCTCCTTTGCATTCCAGGTCAGGGAGTTCCATCCTCCATGTTCGGTAAGGATCAGATGCTTCACTGCCTCTTGCCAGATGTCGGAGGTCGTGGAGGCTTGAGCAATCTTGAGCATCCTGTCCAGCAAAGTCTGCGCAATCAGCATCACCAGACACAGGCGGAGCGATTGAGTGGTCTCGCGCTTCTCCATCTGTTGTTTCCATTGTTGTGTTGTTTGCTGGATCTGTGGGAGGACGCTTGCCGTCCCCGGTTGAAGGAACATGATGAACGTGTCCTGTACTGCTAGGGCCTGGAGTTGGCTTTCGCGCCGCAAGGCAAGAGTGGTCAGGAGTTGAACCACCCTTGGAAGTTGGTCGTAAGAATCGTTCGGTTCCCTTTCGAGCTCGTGTTTCGGTCTTTCAGAGGTTGGACCGGCCTTGATTCGATCAGTCCCCCGAAGGTGTCCGAGATCGTCCACCTACAGGTCGAGCGGTGGCATGGCACGCGAGCTTCACAGCAATGTTCAACGTAAGTGGACAAGTTTCCACAACCCCTTCTGTGAGCCAGCAGTGATTGCAGCACCATGGAGTGGGACACACAATTGTCATACAGCTTGAGGGCAGGTTGAATCAAGTGGTCATGATGAACTCGATGATGCTCTTCCATGAGTTGCGGTGCACATTCAATTTTGCAAACACTGCAGTGACTGCTGAGCCAGGTACTCCATTCCGGCTGCCAGTACAGGTGAGCTCGTTCTGCCGCGCTGGGCTCCTGTGTGTCAGAGGATAGTGCAGGTGAAGGCTCTTGCTGAGACTGTAGCGCCGTATGAAGAATGGCCAACTGTGTATATACCATGCATCTGTGACCGCGCTTGCATTGCCGCAAAGACAAGCCCGTACCTGTCCTCCAGAGGCTTGGCCATATGTAGAAGGGCTGCATGATCTTGAGCAAGGTGCTGTGAGATACCACCTGGCTTCCTGGATTGTCGTCCACACAGCACGCAACAGGTCCGTAGCGCAGCTTGGAACTCAGGGACTGTCACAATGGTGTCAACATCATGCTGCAGTGACATGTTGCGGAGCCTTTGCCACGTGAAGGGAACATGAACTCCCGGTGGACGATCTGGATGAAATGCCTTACAGCCATTCTCAATGTGGTTCCGGAGGCTGAAGAAGGAAGCAAGAGCTTCATACAGTGACTGCATGTGGGGGTGCCGTCAATCGAGTCTCTGGCTGGCTGAAATTCATACTTCTTGTCAAGTT